TTCTGTAGCAGTGTTTATTTTACAGGATGGGGTTGCTAGCCTCATGCCCAACCTTTCCTCTTTACCAGCTTTATTTCTGGCTTAGAGAGGTAAAGGAGTGCATCGACCGGGGATCGAACCCCGGACCATGTGCATGGTCGGCGAGCGTCCTAACCGCTGTGCCACCGAACATGTTTTTAGTTTGCTAGAATTTAGGTAGTTTGAACAACCAGCACCAGTCACCATCAGCATGAGAGATTTAACCGAGGTTACTTCCTTCACTTGTCTAGGCAGCCACCATCGTTTCAACTATAGACTGTCTGAACGGATGAAGATGTCAACACCGGCCAGGAACAACCTGAAACTCTTTTCTGCTCTCACTCAGTCAGCAGAAACGACAACACTGAGATTCTGTTCAACACAGATGTGAAGTTAGTCAGTTATGAACTCTCTGTCTCCATGTCTGTCAACTCTCAGTCAGACTGTTCCATAATAAATAACTTTCTCTTGGATATTAGTCAGTGGTCCTCTTCAAACGGTCTTAAGCTGAATCCGTCTAAATGTCAGGTAGTAAATTTCACTTTCAGACGAAAAAGTGACCTGCAACAACTAGCTAGCTCACATGGTCCCACTATCATTGACGGCATAGAGGTTGAAACTACATCTAATGTCAAGTACCTTGGACTGAGTATTTCCTCCGATCTTTCCTGGTCCTCTCACATCTTGCTAGTGACTAGAAAGATGTTTCGCTTAACGTTCTACCTAAGGAAGTTTAGGCAGTCTGGTATAAAGCAGTCTCTTCTTTCTCAGTTTGTCAATTCCTGTATTCTACCCATCCCTCTTTACTGCTCCCCATTAATCTTTCCTGGACTGCTTAAGAAAGACTTTGCTTTGCTGCGTAGGGCACTAAAAGCTGTTAGTAGGGGAAGTGGGATTTCGTTAAACCAACTGGTTAACACCTTTGTGGATAGACATATAATGTCATGTAAGAAACTAGCGAATTCTATATTGTCAGACCCTGAACACCCTCTCTATACGCACCTCTCTCCTTGCATTTCATCTGGTAGAACTAGAAGCAACTATAGGAGGCTATATGCCAGGACTACCAAGTACAAAAACTCCACAATACCTTATCTGGCACAGCTGTTATGTGATGAGAAAACTGTTAGGCATGACACGATCAACTTACTGCGGCACTCTAAATAATAGTTCCCATTAGCTTTTGTTCTCCTTTCTTTGTTAATATAATATTGTTGCTAACATATTTTATTACACACTAATTTTATATTTCATATCCTGTGGTGCATTGTTTAAATATGTGAATACTATGCTGTTCTTTTTTATTTCTTTTCTTTGTCTTTTTCTCTTTTTCTTGTTGTTGCTTTTTATTTTTAAAAATCTTATAAAAATTTATGAGGTAATTAGGTGCAATATTGTAATGCAAGCTGAAAATTCCATACCTGTACCACAAATACTGTTTGGAATAAAGCTATTATTATTATTAGTCAGTCAGTTCTTCTATACAGTTCAGAAACTTCCACTGCACGTGAGTCATGAAAAGGATTTCCAACGAGTTACACACTTGTATCAACAGCTACCCACTTCACTGGCTGGCTCCATACTGAAGATCAAATGACCGGTCGGCCAGCCAGAAATAATTAGCAACAAGAAACTCTGGTTGAAAACAAATCAACCAAGAGCCGATTGCTTAACAAATATGTAGGAGAAAATGGAGATAGATAGGGCATACGCCATTGGGGAGGCCATCGAGTGACACCGCGCTCAATGCAGGCCATTCCCCGAATGGAATCCCAATGGGAAGCGACGAGTGGGTCCCCCTAGGGTGAAATGGAGGAGATCTTGTGAGTTGGAGGAGGAGAAGATAAGAGATTATGGTCAATCGTGGAGCTAACCAGCTGAAGAGGGCAATAGAGAATAGAACAAAGTGGAGATGTGTTGTTGAATTCCTATATTCCACTTGGAACCCAACGGAATAATAACTAATAGACAGAAGACCAGTAGTTCAGCGAAGAGTCTCTTTTCGAAAGCGAATTCATTTTCATAGCTGTACAATCGCAAATATATATATGGTTGTTTTGTATGTAGTGTGTACATTAAATTTGCCAAACGAAAATACAGTTAGTAAGTTCAGATGAATTGGATGTTGATATAAGAGGGTAGTAACAAAAGTGATGAGTTGTCACAAACGATTGTTAAAGAAGAGTTGCGTAATAACATGAATAGTTTAATGAAAGAGTTGTACTCAGGGTGTACATGGAAACAAAATAACATACGGAATTACACAAGGGTTTTAAGTAGAAAAATAAGCATACAAACAAAAGTCAAGTCAAATCAAACAAACAAACAAACAAAGAAAAGTTAAGTCGAATCAACACAGTTGTTACCATGGGAGTAGAAGTGGTTGAATAATTTTCTTTTGTATGCACAGTTCTGGTTCCTCTAGCTTAATGGCTAGGGCTTCTGCGATGCAAAGAAGACGGAATCGTACTGTCTTTGGAAGGTTGTTCTTCACTTTGTAGATTACTTTGAAGCAGGAGGCGTTTGTTGAGATGGAATGACCAGTGTTGACGAGGTGTTCTATTATTGCACTCCTTATGCAGCCATTACTTCCTTTCTGTAGCCACACTGGATAGTGTTCTTTGACCCTTTTTGACAGGATACGCGTTGAACGACCGATGTACCTGGCTGGCTCCACAGCAACAGGTGAACTGATATATACACATAGAAGTGGTCAGGTGCGGGATCTTGTCTTTTGGGCTTCTGCAGATCAGCGGGCGGCTAGAGAAGACTACTCTGAATGTTGCCGCAAAGAAAGTTCTTCTTAAAGAGGTGGAGATTCTCCTTCTAAGGACGTCACTGAGTAGGTCTCCTTTGAAGTCGAGGTTCATATAAAGTATCTTTTTTGGCACAGATGCTGTTTCTTGCTTTTGGATTTTTTGTTTGATGTTTTTGTCCACGAATCTTGATGGGTAACCGAATAATAATTAACAATAATACTGGTGGTAGTTTGAATGAATCTGATCTATATATTCAGTTCTGGAGGATAATTCATACACCTATTCTTCTTTATAAATATGAATAAAGCAGATTAAAAATCACTGCTTTGAGCAGAATAAGATGGAACCATTGTTTATTTCGTGTACATCTCATCAGCACCATACAACCAAAAGAAATTCTAATTAAGTATAAGTACGGAGAAATGTTGTGCGTCGGTGGCATAGTGGTTAGGACGCTCGCCGACGCACTCCTCCCTTACTCACTAAGCCAAGCCAAAATAATGCTGGTGAAGAGGAAAGGTTGGCATGAGCTAGCAACCCCACCTGCAAAATAAACACTGCTACAGAAACTTCAAGCCACTAGCTTGAAGCCCTATGTTCCACTGGGGAACGTGAAGGAAAAAAGTCCTCTCTTTGGTGCAGACTGAATTCTATCAGTCAGGTTTGTAATGATAGAATTCAGTCTGCACCAAAGAGAGGACTAGAAACATCACACTAGTTACTAGTGTCAAGTCAAAATATCCACTACAGTCCTACAGGAGGTCAATCGCTAGCCAGAATAGCTCAGTGGTAACGTCTCTGACTGCAGCACTGGGTGACGCGGGTTCGAATCTCAGAAGGGACATGAGTTCCTTCAAGGTTGCAGATACGCCTTGCTGACTGACTGGTGATTGCCAACTAGCACGAAACCTAGGTCAAGCAAGGCTTCCTGCCGATTGCCTCCAACCATCTAATGCTCAAATGTTATATTTTTATAACTTATGCACAGAAGGCTCAAGTTTAAAAACAAAACCAAAAAAAGAGTAATAAATATATGGACGCAATCAAAAAGCAGTTGCCTAATACAGACAGCAAGTGGATGAAACAATGAGTAATTAATAAATTGAGTAACAATGTGGTGTGAGTTCAGCTCAAACTATAGAAACAAATGACAACCAGAATTACATTACAGAGAAAGGGGAAGAGGTTACAGTTCAACATCACGAAGTCAAGTATAAGAGATATTGAAGACATTCCGTTAGCACGGTAAGGTATGACTAATAACTGCTTCTTTCTGACAACATAAATCGGGTTTCAAGCACTTGATAGCACGACCCCAACCAATGTCGTCTTTGGGATATCCATCCTCTCACGTGACATCTGGGTGGACCTCACTGGTCACGAGTGCTCACTGGAACTCCAGGAAACTCCATCCTGTAGGTTCTTACTGTAATTTAACTACAGGATAAAAATACAGTTTATCATGGGAATGCTATGGATTATTAGTTTGAACATTTGACTTTCAATTAATATGTCACAACTGAATTTTATTCCACCTAATAAGGTTCAAGATTTTTCACAAAAGTTTGACTGTACTGATGTGATTTGTTTCACGTATGCCACGGACTGATATCAGTTAGAGAACCATTTAAAACTAGGGCTACTGGACAACTGTTTCGTCCTATTTTGGGACTCTTCGTCAGTACACACCTACCGCCAGGCTTGGAACCTACGACCTCCCTGTTTAAGTAGTCAGAATATGTTATTAACTTCTACGTGACTGGTATAACTCAAGAATAAGTGCATTCATCTTGAATCATGACCACTTGAGTTTACATTCTTATCACCAATTCAGCATTATTATCCACCTCTAACGGAGAAACATAGTACATACAACAATATGGCGTATTCTCGCTATTGTGAAGGCGATTTTTTAAACGTCTGACTAATATGGTCCTGTTAATGAAATCCTATTAAAAATAATATACAACAAGGCTAGTTAGTAGACTGATTCACTTCAAGTATTCGAATATAATGGTGGCTAACATTGTTTGTTTGTCAATTCTCACACATATTTAATCAGTTATCTTTGGTCTGGTATGCAGAAAACAAAGTAGGTTACCAATTTTGGCAAGCGTAACCTTTTACATTATCAAACGAGGTGAGACATCAATATCATCTTCGATTAATTAAATGAACCAATCAACTAACAGTCTGTGTATGTCAGATTTTCACGTTTTGGCATAACCTTGTTCTTTCTCTTATCTGATTGGTTGAAATTCATATGCATGTCTATCTAACGACCTTCGGCCTATATACGATGTCAGACGATTAGCCTTAAGCATTTATTTGAAACATGAAAACATGACCCTTTCAGATGGATGAATCTAAGGTAACGGATGATTGTGCTGCTGTTGCAGCTGCTGACTTAGGAAAAATCAAACCACGACATTATCGTCAATTTTCAGATGTAACTAATTCAGGCAATACAGATAACACATATTCAACTACAAGCAAATCTACTATGCCATTTTGTCGGCGTTGTTGCCTATGCTGTAGACAAACAATGTGGTCGCATAAATTTTGGATGGGATTTACAGCATCTACCTGGGGTTTTTTGTCAAGTGTTGAACGTGCTGTAATACTGCCAACACTTTTTCTTTATCTGAAAGAATATTGGGGTGCAGAGATTGCTAATACTCATTATGGAGTTACTGTTGCAGCATTTAGCTTGTCAATCCTGATAATGACGCCTATCTATGGTCTTGCTGCTTATTCTGGTGTTCGTGTAAAAACCCTTTTGTTGGTTGCTAATTTTTTGGAAATTATTGGAAATCTTATTTACCTATTCGCTCCAGTTCCTTCAGCAATCATCCTAGGAAGACTGATCTCTGGTATCGGGGCGAGTTGTGAACCCCCATTATATGCGGATATTGTAAGAGCAACAAATCGTGATGAACGTACTGCATACATTATTGTATTATTGCTCACACGTCAGATTGGTCTTATATTTGGTCCTTCTTTCACATTAATGATGGCTAAAATGAACTATCGTGTGGCGAACTTCACACTGAATGTTTACAATGGACCTGGATTATTAATGGCAATTTTATGGTTCCTACATTCATTTATCATATTGTTTTCTTATCCAAATGTTGATAAAAATGGTCGAGTCATTTATACTGATGGTCAAAGATCGTGTTGCAATCGGGAAGCTTGGATACATACTAATGAACAGTCAAAAGAAGATTCTCGACCTATGCTGAGTGATTCAACAGATTCACTATCCTCTGGTCGATTTAATACCACTGTGTTGAGTAATACTCTACGACCGTATCTATCGTTTAATATTATAGCATTGTATTGTGTTAATTTTGCGGCATATTTCAGTTTTATGGGTTTAGAAGCAGCTCTACCGCCAGTAGCAAATCGGATATTTAACTGGACAGAAGTGGAAACTAGTTATGTATATCTAGCTGCAAGTATTTTGATTATATTTGTAGTGATAATATTACGTATTCTTAATCAGTATTATACTGATCGTGTTCTCCTATTAGCCGGTCTTATTATTATGGTAATTTCTTATCTTTGGTTAACTATTGTAGTTCATATACTTCCTGATATTCCTGTTAGTGTCGGTATTCCTTTAACACTAACCGGCATAGCTATTCATGTGATTGGACTTCCATTTGCTTTTGCTTATTCTGAATCATTGTACACGAAACTTGCTCCCGTCTCTGATATGGATCGAGCTCAATCAATCTTTCGTACAGTTGTAAATGTTGCCTTCTTAATTGGACCGTATGTTGGTGGCTCATTAATTGGTCATCCTACTATAGTATTCTTTTGTATGTTTTTATCCTCCATATTTCCGACACTATTGGTTAGTTGTCGATTTAAAGATTTCATTGTTATCGATAGACCTAATTCACCAGGTGATTTGGAAATAGCTAAGGAGTGCTGAGAAGAAGGCGAAAACAACCCCACACACTAGTAGGCTCATACTCTCTGTGCATATGAGCAATCTAGTCACAAGTAAAACACACAAAAAAGAAGAAAAGAAAATTTGTCTTTCGTTTCCAGTCATCACCTTTTCCCCCGTGTCTTGTTATTCGTCAAACGAACAAAGAAACTGAACAGTTCTCCCTCCCCCCCCAACTTGCTTCCTCCTCCTCCTGCCCCACCCCCACCCACTTTGCCCATTATTTTATCCTCATAATTCAAAGTTTTACACCCTATTTGATTGTAAATCATCAAGGTTTTACTAATATTCATTGTTTCTCAAAGAAGAAAAGATTTTATCTCCTCTGTGGTTTGTTTTTCCTTTGCGGTAAACTATCTATTTTCTATGTTTAATTGATTTGCACTCCGCATATATAAATTTTATTTGTAAATATATATACATATATATATTTGTTTTGTTTTGCTGTTTGTTCTTTTTACTTTGTGCTTTAGATATTTGTTTGGATATTGGATAGATTATACTCATTCGTTTAATAGCTCTTTGTGTGACTGCGTTGTTCACTAAGTTTTAAAATATGTTTTACCGCCCCTAAAGATGAATACAGCTTTGCTTTTATTTTTTACTACAGCCATTTAGCTAGTTATTTATTACCTGAGTTGTACAACACTTGTCCCCAAAGCTCAGATCACGGTAGATGTTTGTCTTAATGGAACCTTGGCTTGAAGTCTTAACCGCAAGGCAGAGGAGCTGTGTCACGAGCCCTCTGTTCTTATGATTACTAGTAGCCAAGATAAGTTCATGTGCTATCTGACTTTTTCGGAATATTTCGCCTCTTTTCGAATCAGGGTTTTACCAGCTTCTCTATGTGGATGTCCATGTCCATCAGTTCCGTAATAAGCCGGTAAAGTTCAACAATACTGTCCTAGAAGGGATGCGAACGCGCGAGTGACCCACCTTTAGCCGACCAATCATAAAAATAAGTGACTTTTGCATAAAATATGACGTATACTTATAAGAAAGTTCATGAAAACACATTAAACAGGGTATCTTTCTCTAACATGACTTAAAAATACGTTCAAGTTATATTGAGGAGTTTCAGTTGCTAAGTTAGACTAGTTTCTGTACATGTGTATTCACCGAGGTGACTAAAGATGAGCTGTTTTTGTGAATTGTTTATCTCTTTTATCCTGTTATGCAGTCTTCCCCAGAGCACTCGGTTGAATTACTATGGTTTCTAGTAAGAGGATCGACAACTACTTACTTACAAATTAAAATAAATGACATCAACTCGAAATCTATCCCTGATCGTAAACCTAATCCTGACCCTAACCCTAAAAACTTAACACTAACCCTAATCCTAATTATGACCCTGATCCTAAGCCTAACCCCAATACTTACCTTAACCCTAATCCTAACCTTGACGAGCTATTAACACATTGTCGAAAAAGTACTTAAGAGCGTGATCTGGGAGAAATTTGCTGCTTAGTTGGCGAAAAGCAGTGATATTTCAGCAATGATAACGACAGGTGCCATCAGCCAACGTTTAACGTGCGTTCAAGGTCAATGAAGCGTTCGCATTCCTGGGACGCTATTGCTGAACTTCGCCGATAAGCCCTGGACATTCATATCCATCCTTTGACTTTTTTGTGAGTGGACACTCTACTGCATGAAGGCGATGAATAAGACTTAATTGGCAGCGACTATAAATGCGTGTTTACATGAAAGCATTTTGAGAAGGAGAACGGAGTCTAGCCATCGTCGACCCGTAAATTTATGAGGGACTTAAATAGATCTGCATCGGTAGACTGCATACATAATAGTCTGGAATCTTCATTTCTAGTCTGATTTATTTTCTAGGATTTTGTGAGTTGTAAGATGTGAAAGTGTACATCTTAGTGGTTTCCACAGATTCTCATAGACGCATTCAGGTGTCAGTTCATGCATCATTTATAGGCTGTCTATATTGGGCAAGTGCTAGTGGTACTATTTCACTTCCCATTCTTATTAGTACAGTGTGAATACTCATTCCACGGTTTTAAAGTTGACTATCTGGTGCAGTCCAACACTGCTCACCCCCCCCCCCTGAAGAACACTAGTCAGGTTGCAGCCAACTTCGTGTCCTTGATTTACACAGACTTTCTTACAATTTAGATGCCTTGGTAACTTATTCATCATTGAGAATTCAGCAAATCACAAATAAGGACCACTCATGATACGATTCTCTATAATTCTGATTTAATTCTGGTTTATTCTTGCTCATAAAAGATACCGACAGGACAATTATTGAGTGTGATTGCGGGCTCATTTCTGCTCAAAAAGAGATAAGCTCACTCTAGTAGGCTCATTCGCACATACTAATACATCATGAAATTTGCAGAGTAAATTGTAATTTAATCTTGTATTTGTTAAGTGGCCAGTCAGTGATAGTAGTTAATTCCCGTCCGTGTGTGTAATTCTCTCACTCAGTCTGTGCGTATCAGACAAATCTTATCGAGACACTTGTCAAACATCTTGAAAATTGGTTTGTGCTATATTCGCTGACGTAAATTTCAGTCCGGAAATATCTATGGATTTTTACTGTATTAGACACTAAGAAATTAACAAAATGTAATCAATGTATGACAGAGAAATAGAAGGATGATTAGAGAATAATTATGTAATAATAATGTGAGGATTAGAGAGGTTTCGCGTGCACTTCAGATTGTGAGGGCAATTGTTACTTCCCGGCTGCCCACACCGTGGAAGTTGGTTGCGTGACCGCAGAGCCCAGGGGACAACTGCTTGAGGCCAGTCACACACGGCCTGTTTTTGTTTGTTCTTTTTTATTTGGTGTGTCTCAGTAGCGTATTTATCACTTCTGCCCTGTGACACGGCAGCAGAAAGCGCGGTCGTTGTTAATCCGGGCCCCGACCGATCCGGCATGATATTTTGTGATTTTGTTTGAGTCATAGCATTGGATTGGGTAGCTGCTTTTTGTCTAACCGCTATCCAAACAACCTTTCTGGCATGGTAGGACCTACAGGAACTTAAGTTCCAGCCAGTATAGCTTGTTGGGTCATTGCGGTGTTCAAGCCCGACCACCACGTCAAGGTGGCAGCTTTCGGTCGGGAATAATAATGTGGTCATTCACAGGGTTGGCATTTTGTGTCCCTTTCAATAGTAGAAAGAAAACGCATGTTGCGACATGATCACCACTGGTGTCAATTATGATTTCGTCACTCACACGATTGTAGTGCGTTGACACTACGTTTCATCCTACAACATAAAGCCGGAGGTTGGTTGTCTTTCTGTTTCTTCCGACCAGTTATAGGAATGCCAAACAATGAGTGGTTGTAGAAGTCTCAAGAGGGACTTTGTTAACGTGCGTCTGTCTGTTTGTCTGTTTTCAAAGTAGAACTTTGCACCGATGTGCAGCAGTTCAAGTCACCACGCTTCACCTTAGCACACGAACCAAGAGAAGAAAGTCGAAGAAATGCAAAATAGGGACAGTGAACAGAGATATGAGGAAAAAATAATAGTAATATCGAAGAACAATATAGTTTCACTGGGTATCGTAAGTCATAAGGAGAGGATGCATCAGCGCCATCACTGAGAACGAAGATTTCCAGCCATATCACCGATTGTCCCCAGCCATCACTGGTTTTTACCATACGGAGGACCCCAACCAGCCAGTCAGGAAGTCTACACATCCATCCCTACGTGACTGACTGGTTGGCTGGTTTAAAATAACTGTTGTGGATTTATTTCATTGACTGATGAAGCGATGTTTTGGTTTGACCACCACTCGCTAACTCTTTTCCAACCTGATCCATCCTATGTCAGCTAAAATTGGCCATCGATCGAGGAATTCGACGACTAGGCTAGGCATGCGTAACACATGTCCTAACCATCTCAATCTATGCAGCTGCTTCACAGCTTTGTCGATTGATTTCCCCTCCCTCCTTACCTAGCACTTGACTCACGCCTAACCTCAATATTGCTCACCTCATTATACGACTTGACACGGGAGATAGAACATAGGCACCTATGATCAAAGACAACTAGCTAACGTTTTCATATCTTCCACTTGTTAACGTATGCCGCTTTCTATGGTCACTGTTGCTAGATAACTTCACTTAGTGAATGGATAGTGTGAATACATGCCATCAAATTTCCAATTATATCCAGATTTACAGAGACTTGTGGTTAAACTAACTTTACGAAAATTATTAACCCAGAAAGATCGATTTTGATAGGAACAACACAGAAGTGCATTTGCTGAAATGATGTGTAAGTGACTTTCATATGGGCAGACAAGCGTCACTACGCCACAATCGGCTCATGCTTACGTTTGATGTATACATTTAGAAGTTCCATTCTACACCACTGCATCCGAACTCAGCTGACTACTTATGTATACACGCTTTTCAAGGAAAGGCATACGGTCAGTTTCTTGAGTATCCTCTAAAGTACTATTTAGCTACATATTGTAAAATCCATTACACTTACAGGCTAATTAAGATTTAGATGGTCTGTATGCTGCTGTCACAATGGAAGTATATCTGAACATTCCAGTACATGTAGTCTTTATTCTAATTAGATTAGATTTATGCCATCGATATTCACATCTCCTTCATTCTCAGAATGTGGACGGAAAGTAGAATAGTGAAAGTGAGCAGTTCTATCTGACCCCTGCATCTGTGATTTTTGGGCCACTAGTTTTGAAAGTGGTTGTGATACCCTCACTCTTATTACGAAGATTTTGCCTAGGCCTTTGAAGATTCTAATAAGTTTCTCATAGGTACTATTATGCTTAATATACAATTATTAAGTGAGGTCTTGTTTCAAAGAATGGCGTAGCATTAATAATAATTATTATTCCCTTAGGTCCTGAGTGGAAAATAGAACTTCAGTAGCTTATCTCCATCTTACCTTATTCTCTGCAGTATTTCTTAGCTGGCACCACTGTTGCCCATAAGCTCTCTTCTCCTCCTGACACTGTCTCCTCTATATCACCCTTAGAGCAACATCCAGCTCGTCAGCCCCAACGGGTTGACCGTTGACGAAATCTCAGCACGGATACAGAAGGCCGATTTCGCATTTACCAACTTACGCCATCTCTGGCATAGACGTGATATCCCACTGGCTGTCGACTAAGGGCGTGTGTACTACGCAGCGGTTCGCTCTGTCTTACTTTATGGCTGTGAGACATGACTCTTGAAAGTGGAAGACATGAGAACGCCGGTTAGTTGTCTTTTGGTCAAAGGTGTCTGAGTTCTGTCTCCCGTGTTCAGTGATATAATAGGATGAGCAATATTGCAGTTCGGCGTGAGACGAGTGCTAAGTGAGGAGGGAGGGGAAATCAATCGACAAAGCTGTGAAGCAGCTGCATAGATTGAGATGGTTAGGACATGTGTTACGCATGCCTAGCCTAGCCATCGACTTCCTCGACCGATGATCAATGTTAG